CTCTCCCTCTCTCTCTCTTTCTCTCTCTCTTTCTCTCCCTCTCTCTCCCTCTCTCTCTCTTTCTCTCCCTCTCTCTCTCTTTCTCTCCCTCTCTCTCTCTTTCTCTCCCTCTCTCTCTCTTTCTCTCTCTCTTTCTCTCCCTCTCTCTCCCTCTCTCTCTCTTTCTCTCCCTCTCTCTCTCTTTCTCTCCCTCTCTCTCTCTTTCTCTCCCCCTCTCTCTCTCTCTCTCTTTCTCTCTCTCTTTCACTCCAGTTTAACAGAGTTTGATCTCATCCCCTACCAGAACATGTTCCAAAAGCTTAGGTCCACCACCAAAGCACCCTCTTCCGTGCAGTCTTATACCTATCAACCCATGTTCTATGCAACTCACTTCATCAAAAAACAGTGTGTTTGGGCACTAAAATCCCCTTCCAAACACACCTGCAAAATCCAAAGCTTCAGCTTACTATGACAGGGGAAGAAAAATATTGGAAGTGTTTATCTGTATATTCTTAATGCGATTGCTCTGTAACATATGGTTTTCTGTTGCATTTTTAGCAGCTGCTGTTTAATTTAAAAAATGAAACTGCATTTCTTCTGCTGCTGCAAGGGCTGCAAAATCAAGTTCCCCAACAAACGATGAAGGTAACATTTAAGAAACTAGTTTTAAATGTTTTATGCTAAGAATATATTGTGTGAAAACCTCCTCTCATGCTTGTTTAAACGGATAGCATAGCATGTTTCAGTTTTTTTTGTATTTATTCTTTGTACTACTACTGGGCTATCAACATTTCCAAAACCTGGGTTCAGAGTGTTGTTACCAAAGGCTACAGTCTGGAGTCTCACTCCCTGCCTCCTCCTTATTTCCTGCTATCCAATCTGGCCAAATCCCCTGAAAGGTAGATCACTCTCTTCACTGCCCTAGGTTAGCTCTCTTCTCATGGAGCATAGTACCCCTTCTGGAGGCAGAAATGTTTCAGGAGTTTTACTTCAACCTGTTCACTGTCCCCAAGGTCAGGAGAGGTGTTCACCCTATCTTATATCTGAAAGGTCCTCAGTTGGATCCTGCTGGTCCAAAACTTCTGGATGGCATCCATCCACCCACTCAGTCGTTGCCTCACTTAATCTGGTAGATTTCCTGGACATAAGGGATGCATAACTACACCCCCCCTCCCCCATTTTTCTTGCCCATTGTCGCTACCTTGATTTTGCGCCCAGCATTTCCAATTTGTTGCTTCCCTTCAGTCTCTTTGTGGCTGAAACCCTGTTTTTTTGCCATGGTGCTGGCCCCTGTCTTGGCTGTGCTGCTCTCCCAGGGGATCCCCATAGTGAGTACTGAGACGACTGGCTCCTTCTAACATCCAAAGGACAATACAGACGCTACAGACCTTTGGCTGGATCCTGAATCCTGGGTCTCTTCCCACCCCGTTTTTGGTACTGTTTTGCTATGAAAATGAATCATGCTGGTTATGGGGGGGGGGGAGGGGGGTTGTTGAACCATGTGGTTCTTTGTCAGTGCCCAATCCTCCTGTCGGCAGCAGTATAACCCGAATGTTCAAGACTCCCTGTGTCCCTCAATGGAGAGTACAAAAATTCTTTTTTTAACACTGCAAAGACAAATTGTGGTATACCCAATAACAACCAATAAACAATATACAGTATTGTAGACCAGGGCTGGGCAAATCTCAGGAGCCATATTGCTAATATGCCAAATATGAAAGCTGACAATCTAAAATGTATATTTATAAAGCAATAAATGTGATATTTTCTAAACATTCACTGCAGGTTTTATCATCCTGGTTCATGTGTTTTTAATTAAAATGATTCACCTATACTTACCTGGCAGGGGAGATACCATGATGACGAAGGTGGTTCTCCCAGGGCGAGGCTCATCCATTCCACCACGGGTGTGCTGACCCCTGCGATTTCCCCAAATGCGGGAAACTCAACTTCATAATTTGTGGTAGTGGGGGACTGCGAAAAAAATAATAATTATTCACCTGCAGTGAATATTTGGCAAATGCCCCATTCACTGCTTTATAAATCCATCCCTTAGCTTATTTTTTATTAAATGGGGGGCAGCCATTTCCTGTTTCCTTAGAACTAGACTGTAGCTTAGTTTGTGCCCCCTTGGTGCCGATAAATGGCAGCTGCTCAGTGATTGATGAAAAAAAGATACTTGGTGACCGAGGTACCTGTGAATGACCTTTTTTGACCACAACTTAACTTTTCTAGATTTTTCAATGCCCTCTGTGCTTGCATCTTGTGAATATTGCAATTACAGTTATTGGTATGGAGAGATAATAAATTTGATTTCTAAACAAACTACTCTTTCATTTTTAGGATCTTTATAGGTTATTTTCATCTAGTCGGTATGATATAAAGGCAAACAGAAGGGACATTTCCACTTCTTACCTTACTTCTGACACAGTATCGTTGCTACGCGAGAACCTGTCTCAAAACCCTGAACTTTTACAAGCAGTGCTCAGCTTTCTACTAGTGGATGACAATCATTCCACATCATTTGAATATAATCATCGTCTCCTAAATATCACTGTGGACTTCATTTTAGACTTGTTGACATCTCTTCATGAACATCACAGGACTGAGGAACCATCTGACTATTTATTTTCTCAAACAGTGAATCAGATATACAAGGTTTTAAGCACCATGTGCTTTGATTTGGATCTCCAAGCAAGTGAGCTCAGCCAATTATGTTCTAAAGTTTTTAGAGCATCCTGGATTAAAGGACATGTTTCAGAGGAGCAAGTTCAGGCATCTCTGCTCAGGAAACAGAATTCTGGTTTGGTTAGTCTGTATGGCAGTGTCATCAATGAGAAAATGAAGACATGTTTTGCTGCACAGATATCTTCAGGAAAAGGTTTGCATTTTATCTTTTGCACAATCGGGTATTTCTTTTTTTCCATGCTTAAAAAGGTAAGCTCACCTTTTTACAAAATGTGAAAAAATTGAACTTACCCACAGCACCTCTCTACCTTCCCTGGTCTCTGCTTTACTTAGCTGTGTGATGCTCCCACTAGCTGGTGTAGCAGTCTGTACACCATACTTCACAGCACTGCAGGCTGTAATGATCATGATGCTCACAAACGGCTAGAGCTTATTGGTCAGCACAGTTCTATTACCACGCTGACCAAAAGGAAGTGCTTCTTACTTCCGGGACCTGGTGCTTGACTTAGAAGCGCTTCTTAATCAGTGGTAATATGAGCGCTCGCCATTCGCAAGCATTATGTTTACTACAGACTGTGGGGCCGTGAAGTACGATGTACAGATCGTTCCACTGGCTGGTGGAGGCATCACACAGGAAAGTGCTGCGGGGACCGAGGGAGGTTAAGGGGTGCTGTAAGTAAGTCCGTTTTGTTAAAAGGTGAATTTACCCTTTAAGGGGTACTAGTCTTGAATATTTATAATTTTGGATTCCCCTTGCACTAGAACTGGCACCCAAAATTAGTTTGTCCAAGCACATAATCAGTAGATCAGGTGATATAGTATATGGACTATGATTGAGAACACAGACACAAAGCAGAAAATATTGGGAAATTTACTTGAATGGAAACAAATACATTTATTTTTGTGATACTTTTATAACATATGCCTATTATTATTTGTATGTCTTTGCTGACATTTTGGTAGTAATGCTCTTCTTGGGTCTTAGTAAGGTAATAGTTTTTTTGATCGTACATCATAGAATAGGACACAGGGAGGTAATTCTTAGACCAGGACTGTCATAAATCAATCTTTATGACAGTCCTGCATAACCCCTCCTAGTTCTGGCCTGCCTCAGATTTTTGCTAGTGTCCTCAGGTGATGGATGGGCTCTTTGCTCTGAGTACTTTGCACTATTTTTACTGAATTTGTTTCTGTAAGTTTCTGTAAAGTGCCTCCTGCAGCTTTCTGGATTAGTTATCTCTTTCGCAGAGCCTAGGTGGACTATAGCCAGACCATGCAGGAATGAACATGGGGATGTCCTTCAATGTGCTTCGTACTTGGCACGCAGTGCTGCGCATGTGGTTAGCTGCAGGGTGGTTCCTGTGGACTGGCTACTGTGCCTGTGCTGCACCTCCTTCTCACTTTGCTCATAAGCCTGCTTCCTTGGGGTGCTGTGACCAAGCACACAGACACACACACTGCCTGTCCCTGCTGAGTCTTTGGAGAGCCACTCTGCACACTACCACCGCTATTGTTGCCACTATTGCTATCGCTGGGAGCCACGCTGCCACCTGCTGCTGCCGTGTTCTTGCGCCACCTGCTGCTGCTTCCTGGTTTTGGATACGGGCACCCTCTTAAATCCTGTGGTGAGTTACTGTGGGGTACAGTAATGTAACCGCTCTAACTAAAAAGAAGCACCTACGCCCTTTGTGGGTAAATCTGTTCTCCACCAATTTTAGGTGGTGGCCTCTAGTCCTTTTTTTTTTTTAAGGGAGTTTACATTAAAATGTTTATTGCTGATGTTGGTATCACTATTAAACAATTTGTACATCAAAATTATGCCCCCTCTTAATCGCCTCCCTCCCAGTGTGAACAAATTTAAATTTAGCAACCGTGTCTCATAGCTTTTGGTCCTCCGGACTTTTAATTAGTTTAGTTGCTCTTCTCTGGACTCTCCTCAGCTCAAGAACATCCTTTCTGTGGATGGGTGACCAAAATTGAACCGCACAAACAAGATGAGGCCGAACCAGTGATCTATAAAGTGGCAACATTTTTGCTTTGTCTAAAGTGTCTCTGTTTCTACTGCTAACAAGCCAAGATGAATCATGTGCTATACTGAGTTACTGTGGAATATTTATGATTGACTAAACGTTGTTTATTGTCCACTTTTTGTACAGTTTCTGCTCAAGAGCTCACCGATAATGAAAAAGCAATTATTCATTTCTTTTGCAACGCTCAGCAGTCAGCTTCATGGAAGAAGGTCTTTTTCTACTCCCTCTCCACTGGAAAACACTTTTTGGAGCAAATACTGGTCAGTCATAAATTGTTAAGTAATCACAATATTTTATTGTATTCTATCCACTTACATTTTATTGTTGCAAGAAGTCAAATATTTGATTAAATTAGAATTCCATGCACACTACAGGATAATGCCCTATTCCAAGGGCAGTCCCTGCTGTAGGAAAAAACAGTATGTACTGTGCACCATGTGATGCTCATTTCCTGCGCATACTGCTCATTATCATTCCCTCTACCACACCTCTAATGCACATACTGCCCACTGTCTTGCTCTCCTCACACTTGTTATGCCTGTGAAGGGGCACATCTGTGCGATGTGTTGAATTTTTTACTACAAAGCTGACATTTTCACTACACAAAACTGACCTTTAAATTCCCGAGAAATGACCAGACAACTGCTTTTTTTTTTCTTTCCTGTTAGTAAACAAAGCAGCTGGGAATTCTTATCTATACCAGAGCCTTATCCTAGATAGGGGTCTGTTATAGATGTTTAACCCACAATGGGACCTCCCAGCAGAAAAAACACAAAAAGACGTGGGGTGCCCCCCCTCCACCCCCCCAATATCCATCACCAGACCCTTATCTGATCACATGTTTCCCCTTGTCCTGAACCATACCAGGCCACATACAATCAATATGGGTCAGTGGCTTAGCAGGGGGGCCCCACCTAGCACAGCATTG